ACCCTGAAGCAAGGGAACCCAGCAACCATAAGAAACTAAGCCAAGCCAGATGACTGTTCAGTGAGCCTTGAGCAAAGCCAGACCAGAGGAGACTTGAGAGTCAGAGTGGGCTCAGGAGGCACAGTATGGGCCTGGGAAGCCCTGAAGCCTCTGGTGACCTGACTGATTTGTGAATTAAAAGGACCTCTGTGATTACTAAATGGAAAATGGATTGGAGGGGCCTGGAGCTGGCGATGGAAAAATGGGAAAGCTATGCAGAGGCAGATCTAAGGGAACCACAGTGTCCTGAAGCACAGGATAGGCATGGGGATGGGAAGAGGATGGAGCTCAGAGGCACTCACAAGACAAAACACTAAGACACGTCACAGCAGAGATTCCAGCAGCCGCCCTTCCTGAATGCTTTCAGTGTGCCTGTTACCTCCATGGTTACCTTAGATGCACTCTACTTGAACCTCTAAGATCAGTTCTGCCAGCAACCCCATTCATCAGGGACCCGGCTGAAAGACTAAGCACCAGATGCTTGGTCTGTGATTTTCATTACCAGAAGGGCTTTGGGGGCTTGAGGGCACCGTTCAGAGACACATGGACCTTTGGTAAAGAACACTGTCTGGATGAGATCATACTACTGTGGGTCTCCCTTACATGTTACCATGTCTCAAAGTGTGCCCTGTCCTGGGGACGCTGAGGTGAGAAATGAGCTTCCTAGAAGTCCCCGATAATAGTTTCATCCTGTCTCACCTCATGCTGAAGCTAAGACCTGAGTTGTCTTAGAGGTGGGCTGGACTCTCCACTGTGACTCCTAGGTGACTCCCTCCCCAGGGAAGGGGAGTCCCAAAGAGGGACAGGGAAGAGGCAGAATCTGGACAAGAAGTCAGAGGAGAGACAGGCAACGGAGTGTATGGGCTGGGGCTTCCCCAGCTTTGAGATCATTGCATTTCTCTGGCATTGATGTCACTGTACTCACACACATATGCCATACACATGTTAGGAACACTCCCTGGCCTGTAACCTAGAGACCATCACTGGCCCTGATGTGACACTGTACCATGCTCCTGGTGACATGCAAATCACAGACAAAGGCCTAGGGCCTCTGACCTCAGTTGACACCCCCACACCCCCAAAGAAGAGAGAAGGCAGTTCCCAGGGCAGCTGGCTGGCCTTACACACCTGCTCTTATACCTCTGCAACTTTGCATACAAGAACTGCCCTTCCTCTGCCTCTGCCTGGCCAACACCGGCTTGCCCCTGAGTGCCTGCCTCATATGACCTCCTTGGAACAGATCTTATTCCAAGAAGCCCTTTACCTTTTGCCGTACACTAACACCATCATCCATACCTTGTGTGTGTCTGAGGCTACACCCCATCCCAGATTACAAGTGGGGCTCACCTTGCCCCAGTTCACCTCACACCCTAGCCCCTCACACCAGTGTCCAGCAAAAAGGAAGAAAACTGTTCTATCCCTGCTCCCCCTCAGAGCTCCAATGAAACTTCTCACCCCGATCTAGTAGCTCTTATTTTCCATGACCAGCTCCTTGGGGGAAGATCACACACACACACACACACACACACACACACACACACACACACACACACATAACTGGCCCTGGCTGGGACATATGTTTCTGAGTAATGACATGCACAGGGAGATGCCCTCAGTCAGGGCCCAGGCAGCCCAGGAGATGGAGGTAGCAGGCAGAAAGCTGCTCCAGAAAGTTTTCTTCTTTGAGGTACACCAGGCCATACAGGGTCTTTCTTACACACAAGCACTCACAGCTACAGTGACACACAGGCCCAGGGTCTCTCTCACACACAACATGCCGTCATACACAGGACCTCATGGTCTCTCACACATAGTCTCTAGCACACAGTCTGTCACACAAGGCATCCTACACATGCACAGTTAGTCTCAAGCACACACACACACACACACACTCACACGCAGAGTTCCTCATGCACATTTTCACACCTGCAACACACTCTCTCCTACTCAGCAATACACTCACCTGGAGTCTCATATGCTGCACCTGTCACTCCTCTTACACATGCAGTCTATCTTATTATATACATTCTCTCTCACACATCTCTTTCACACACCAGCATACACACAGACACACATGAGTCCATCTGTCAACACACAGAGACTCACATCCACAGGTTCTTTGACATAAGGACCTCTTTCAGAGTCACAATTTCAATACACCCCCACACGCAAGCACATGCACTCACATATACACACGTATACACCCAGAGTCACACTCACCTCATGCATATTTATTTTTATTCTAACACACGAGGACCTCTTTCAGAGTCACAATTTCAATACACCCCCACACGCAAGCACATGCACTCACATATACACACACACGTATACACCCAGAGTCACACTCACCTCATGCATATTTTTATTCTAACACACGAGGAGACTCTCACACACCCACACAGTCTCTTATACACACACACATACACACATGCAAGCTTTTCTTTCACAAACACATAGACAATCTCACACACATAAGGGATTCAGAATCTATAATACAAACTGAATCTTAAATCCAGACCCAGCAATCTGAGAGGGCTTTTCCAGGCTGTAAGGGGGAGGAGTAAACAAAGGTGACTGCAGGGCACACAGGCGGCAGCACAGCAAAGACGGAGGGGGAGGACGGCCGGCAGCAGGCTGGTCCCTGCAGAGCTGCAGAGAGGCAGCGCAATGCAGCTGGGCCAGCAGGCGGGCGGGTCACAGGAGCCTGGGTTCAAATCCCAGCTCTGCCTTCATTTCCCCTTTCCTCTGTGAGTCTGTGTCCTCATGTGTCGCCCATGGGAGTGGAAAAGGACACAACCTCTCTGAGGTTATGAGGGAAAGCAGCACAGCTGCCCTGAGGGGGACACCCACTGACACCCCCCTGTGTTGCAACTGCCCACCATACACCACCTCTGACTGCCCAGCTTTTCCCTGAGTCTGCTCTTAAATGGGCATTTGCTTGAGAGTTTCGAGACTTCAGTCTTGTAGTTTTATACACTGGCAAGACCTAAAGCCATACTTAGGCGGCCAATTTGTCGCCACTGAGTGAAGGCCACTCCATAACCCAGGGATGCCCAGTGGGAGGAAAGAGCAGGGGAGGGGCAGGAGTACCCCCTCTGATCCCTGCCTGAAACTGATTAGTGAAGTTCAGGGAGGCAGGTGGAGGGACCCAGCCTCTTGTAGGTACCCTGAGGAAGTCAGGCCTTCTTGGACTTGCTTCCAGGGGCCAAGAGGAGCTGCTGCCAAGGTCAAATGAGGGTGGAAGTGTTGCTCTAAGCCAGGTCTTGGCCCAGTCTGCCCTGCACACCTCCCCCCAGCCTGTGCTGCTTCAGCCCCCCAGTCCCCTGTTCCAGCCCCTCCCCATAGCTCAACACAGCCTCCAGTTACATAATCCTCTAGCTGTGGTGGCCTCTGTCAGCAAGGAGGGGGGTTGAGGGGAGGCATCCTCTCTAGGTCCTAGGTCATTCTGGAAAATGGCAGGAAGCTGATGACCAGCTCCAAGGAGGATAGGGGTCCCAGAAGATCTGGATTCAAATCTTACTTGACCTCCAACTTCCAGGGTGACCTTGGCTAAGATCCTCAGTGGCAATATGGAAAACCAGGTGCTCTCTCTCCCCACCCACAACACCTAGAATTCAAGGTGTAAGGTTCTAAACTGCTGCTCCACCCCCACATGCCTTTTTGTTTTATCTTAGCAACAAATCTACCAGGTGTCTGCCTACAGCCCCTCCTTGGGCATCTCAGCTTCCGCCCCCAAGTTTCTTTGTCCACTGAGCTGCAGACTCCTGCTCCTCCCCAGCTCAAATACCCATCCCCAGCTCTGGCTCAGGCTCCTGTCAGCATGAGAAACCAGACCTGCAGCAGCAAAGGCAGTGTTTTGCCAGGGAGGGGACAGAGGTGGGTCTGGCCCTGAGGAGGGGCTCTGTCTCAGATTCCCAGCTCTGCCCTTCCCCCTCATCCTTGGTTCTCTTTAGGCCTGAGAAGCCAGCCCAGGAAGGCCTAGTATTTCTTCTAGCGTAGCTGTCTACCTCCATTCCCTCTTTTGGGCTCAGTAAGAGAAGATCCAGAGGGAAAGGCCCTTAGAGTCCACCAGCGTTTTATTCAGGATGAAATTAACCGAGAGAGGCAGTCTGCGGCCAAGGTCAACAGCAGGCATCCTTTCTCCCTTCTAACAATTTCTAAAAGGGGTGTGGCTGATGAAGACACGCCCACTTCACACACTGTCTGGGTACATTGCCCCATAAAATTCCCCTCCTTGCCCCTCTCTTCCCAGGCCAAAGGAAGCAAGGGCTCAAGCCTTTGACCTCCTCCAAGCTTCTCCCCTTCCAGGAGGAGGGACAGCATGCTCTCATTTTAGGAGCAGGCCCCCAAGCCCAGTCCTTCAACAACCACCTGGCTATTAATGAACATTCCTTAAACCACCTCCTCAGATAGCAGGGGAGGATGATCCCTTGAGGGAGGGCCTGTCAGTCTCAAGCTTCCAGGAAGGCCTAAGGTCCTCTTTCTACTCCAGGCCCCTCTCCCACCCTGCCCTGGGAAGAAGGAAGGGCTCCCCTTATCTCCCCCAAACCAGAGGGCAATTCACACCTTCACAGTATACATCTGCTAGAGGCACAGATGGGGCATGCACATGGGTGTGAGGTGTCATGCACATTCAAACACACACATATGCTCATTCGTTCCCACAAACTTTACCCATCCAAATACATTACACACCAGCACACTTACATAAATATGCACGCGGTGTACTCACACACAAAAAAACACACCCATTCACAGGCTTTCCTACATATTATCAATACAGACACACTCACATATTCAAACCCAGTCACTGGCAGGCATCCCTGCGCTCTTACACACGTACACAACCCCCTTCAGTCCAGAACTCCCTGGGCACTCACTGTCCGCTGCACCCTACCCGAGGGAGGCAGCCAGGGCTCCCTCTCCCTGTCGGTGAACCTGACAGATAAGAAGCCACTTACCCGCGCATAGCGAGATGAGTAGGGGTCCTCGAACAGCGCCCAGATGCGCGGCTGCCAGCGACGCCAGAAGCCGCCAGGCCGGCCATCTGGGGAGTCACTGAGCGCCAGTCGCTTGGTCATCTCCAGCTCGTCCTCGCCGTCACCCGAGTCCCCAGGGCCGTCGGCGTCCGCGTCGTCAGCGCTGTTGTCCAGGGGCGCACCGCCAAAGCTGTCCAGCGCCTCCTCGGCGTCGCGGTGCTGGCGGTAGGTCATCCAGCAGCAGGGCTCCACGTCCGTCTCGTCGATGCCCCAGAAGGCCAGCTCCTCCTCGTACAGCGGCCCGCACACGTCGGCCGGGCAGTGCAGCTTGCCGGTGCGGTAGTAGTTCAGGATGTGAGCGAAGACGCCCGGGTGGCGGTCGAAGAAGAACTCGTCTGCCCGCGGGTCATAGTCGAAGTGGCTGTGGGCATCGGGCTCGGCCAGCCAGGCGAGCCGCGTGCCGGGCAGCGTGCGCAGCGTCGAGCGGTACGTCTGGTGGCGCGTGCCGCCCACGTTGATCACGATGCGCTCGCTCTCGTCCCCTTGGCCCATCGCGGCGCCCCCTTAGGCATGGCGCGGCCCAGCGACACCCATGGGAGCTGCCGCCAGGGGGAGTTGGTGTCGGGGAGGGGGGCGCGCGGCCTCCTCCCCCCTCCCCCCAGCCGTCGGGGGGGTACAGAGGACCGCGGCTCCGGCCACCCACCCCAACGAGCGACCAGAGCCCCTCGAGGGGCGCTGCGGGTCAGGTGCGCGTCCAGGGGTGTGCTCAGGGGGTCCGGGGTCTCCAGGCGCCAGATGTGGGAGGGAGCTGTCCTGCCTGCGGAGGAGGCAGAGGAGAGAAGGGAGGGAGACAGGGAGGGGGGAAGGGAGCGGGGCGGCGCTCAGCGGCGAGCCCCAGGAGGAGGGGAGAGAGGGTGGGGGGGCCGGGCTCCGGGTACCATCTCAGCGGGAAATGGAGGAACCAGCACAAAGCTCTTTAGCGGAAGGTCATCGGCTCTGCCCCGGGCCCCCGGACCAGTAGACCAGCCGCCCAGAAGGGGGACGAGAGCAGAGGGGCTCCGGGAAATCCGCGGTGGGCTGTGCGGTGGTCGCCGCGGCGCGCTCCCGGCGCGGCGGGGATGGATGCCGGCCGCGGTCCTCCGTGCGTGGCGGGGCGGCAGCTCAGGGCTCGGGGCAGGCTCCGGTCCCCTTCCGCTCTCCTTGCCCGGATGCCTGCTCCTTTGGCGGCGGGCAAGCCTGCCCACCCGCCCTCCTCGTTCCTTCTCCCCGTCTCCCAGAGGAGATGGCGGGTCCCCGGGGCAGGGGCACCGGGCGCTGCCCCACCGGGCTGCCGCGAAGCTCTGCGCGGGGTGCGCTGGATCGGGGCTGATCGGGGCTGCGCGGGGCTGCGCCGGGACCCGGCTTCCGCGGCGGTGCTGAAGGGACAGCTCCCGGACGGCGGCGGAGCAGCACTGGGCAGGGCCCAGGTTGTCCCCGAGGTCCGGCGCCGGCTCGGGTGTCTGCGCCCCGCGCTCCTCTCCGTGCTCGGGGCGAGCGAGGGGCGCTGCGCGCCCAGGCGAGGGGCGCTGCGGAGGTCAGGCCCGTGAGGCGGGGGTGGCAGGTCCGGGCGCGGCGCAGCGAGGCCGGCGAGGCC